ATGATCAAACTTTGAACATCTATGAAAAGATCAATGTAAGTAAATTTGATTTATTTTTGTAATTAACTTTTGATTAATATAATCTTTATTATAATATTTCATTTCATGTCAAATCATCAAAAACTATTCATAGTTTTTAATCTATCAAACACACAATTATACGTATGAAAACAAAGGTAAGAGAAAGGAAAGAATACAAATATATAAACTGAAATTAAGTACCCCAGAATAGACTAATTTTACAAAAAAAATATGTCAAAACATAGATATATATGTACGTCATCGTTTTTGAAAGGCCTAAAGTATTTTTAAAGTTAAAATCTCATGTCTACACTAGATGTTGTATAGAAAATAAATTATTCAGATAATTTTTAGAACCATTCAGATCATTAAAATAGTCAAAATCAATCTTTAGACTTAGCAAAAGATTCTAAATGTGTAATAGAAAATATAGTGAGCATTGAGAAAATGGATGTAGTAGAATTATACTTATCTTTTACCTTTTTAGATCGTTCTCAAATCAAAGACTTTTCTCGAAGTTTATATCATATAGTATTCAATTGTTTCATTTAATCTTTTTTCAGTAATTTCTTTAATTGTGGATTAACAAATGGTTGACTAATAAAAGCGAATATAAGTGCATTTATAGAAGCTGAAACCCATTCAATACGATAAATTAATGGATCAAGTTTACCTTGTGGAACATAAATTATTAAATCGATGATAGATGAAAGTGAAGCTATACTTAATATAATTACAACTATCATAATACGTCGAATAATAATATAATCTCGTCGATTTCGTTATTTATAAGGTAATATGAATGAAGATCGACGCATTTTATAAATAATACAAATAATCGATAAAGATAACGCAAAAACAATTGAAAATAAATATGTTAATGAAGAAAATTCATTCATTACTGCTGTACAATAATCTTCATTTGGAATCAATTACATATCATTGAATAATAAAAAATAAGGTAAAGTACTAATAAATCCTAATAGAATATGACTAGATACAAATATATATTTTTTTTGGATAAACAATACGAATAACACGAAAGAATGATTGAAGAGCACAACCCCAATATAGACCACTAACTAATGAAAAAAATAAATTATTCGAATTAGAAATTAAATAAAAATCGCGTATTAATGTAGACAAATTGACATCTATCAATTGTATTAAACTAGAGTATTGAAAGAAAGTATAAGAGGTACTTCGATTTTAACTGATTTTGAATAATATTCAACTTGGATATGTTTATATAGAATCAAAATAATTGAAATAAGTAACGTCATTAATTCAACACCAATTGAGACTAAATTTAACACCATATGAGGATATATTGACACAGAAATATTTAACATTTCGACATTCGAAAATATCAATTAAAAGACTTTTATTTGAACTTATCTTACTCGTAGTTTACTTCATCCATTGCTCGTAAATAATAACGACTTAAGCTTTTAAATCAATCAATTAACTTTGCTCATCTTTCCTGATGTTGAAAAGAAAAATAAGATAAAAAGAAACAAACTAGTTTCATCATTAATATTATTAATTCATAAGAAAATATGGAATAACATGGATAGGAATTCCATAGAGAATATTATTACGAATCTTCTTCTTCTTTCTTTCTTCAGTTTATATTGTTTCCAAACATTAATCTATCTTAAACATATTTATATTATTCTATACTTCACATTACAATCAAATAATATTTCTTTCATATATTAAATTTATATTAGAAAAATGTTGATACAATCTCTTTCATAACAAATATATCACGCATTCTAATATAGGTGGAGAATAGAAAAATTATCTCAATTCTTCTTTACAATAAAAATAAACTGTGTAAATTTGTTTTTAACTTCTGTTTAACTATTTTTACTTTATTATATGAAAAAAGAGCGACAATTTATTTTTTTGGTGAAATATCGAAGAGAAAGTCGAGTATGAAATTATACGATTGTTTCTGAATTTCTTCCACTGACTTGAACTTTTTGAAGAGTGTAAATAAATGAAATTTTAATACAATATCAATGTCTCGACACTCAAATATTTTCATTATCTTCTTTATGTAAAGTAAATCTATAAATTACCAAGTTTAATATAATTAGTTTTGTCATGTTTCACTTCAAAGTCTCAAATGAATTACGCTATAATTATTGATTATTAACTGAACATATTTATGATTGTTTTCATCGTAGATTATTCTTTAGTTGATAAAACTATTCTATAATCAGTGTTAATTAAGCATGTTTTCACAGATTCGCAAAATCTATTTTATTCAAATCATTTTATCATTTTTGCAAATTTTTTCATTAATTTAGTAAAAGATTCATCTTTGCTTTGTATTTTATTGTTCAATGAAGTATTTTCTTTTCTTTAGTTTTTGTTATATCGATAAAAAGAAGAAAATTTATGAATAAACACTGAATTATTTATTTTCACTAAGAGAAGTTTATTACAGAATAAATAAATATGGTTTTACTGAATAATATATTCTCGTAATTACAAATATAAAACGTGACTTTTATTGGTCGATGATTTGAATGAACATGTTCAAATAATTTATTTCTATTGAAAACTTAGATCATGCGACAAATATTTAGAAAACTATATTTATCACGACGAGTTTCTTTTCAATATGCTAGGGAATGAATAATCTCGTTATAGTATTAATAAAAGTATCAAACTACTACCAACGAATGTTCCATAAATAATTACCTTTTTCCCTTTCTCTCAATAAAATCATAAAATCATAAAAATAAATCTAATAAAATTTCTATTTACAAGTTTTTCTTGTTAATTAGAATGTTTTTTCTCGATTTTAAAAATATTGTATTTGATTTTTCTAATTCAGTTTTATTGAAATTCCTTTAGTTTGATTTGTTCAACAGAAATTCTATTCGAATTATTTTATTCATTTTGGTTTTTTAATATAAAATTAAAATTATAAAAAATATGTATTTACTTTTCTTCTAAAAATGAAAAACAAATTTATTTATTTTATTCGAAGGAATTTTTTAATTTATTTTCTTAGAGATTTTTGATAAACTAATGTTTTTTATTTGTTTCCAAAAATAAAAATCGAAATTTTATTAAAGTAAATTAAAAAGATTTTTAATTTAAAATTCTGTCATATTTTTGGATACGATCATTGAAACGATCAACAACATAAAGATTCTGTTCAGTATCAAATGATAAACCTGTAGGAAAATGCAATTGATTTGATTGATTTCCTTGACCATTTCCACCAACAACAATTTCACCTTCTTCGTTTCCTTCACACCAACGCATTACTCGATCATTCCAATAATCTACCACATAGATTTGACCCAAATTATCAACAATTACTCCATGAGGATAATTCAATTGTTTGAGACTATTTCCTTGACCATTTCCACCAGCAACAATAATTCCTTCTTTTGCATCTTTTCTCCATTTCATTACACGATGATTCTGTTCATCTGATATATAAAGAGAATAATCTTTATCAATAAAGATATAAGTAGGTTGATTGAGTTGATTAAGATGATTTCCTTGACCATTTCCACCTGCCACTATAATTCCTTCCTTTTTATATTCTCCCATTTTCCATCGTCTTACTTCATGATTCTTATGATCAGAAACATAAATAAATCCATTTTTATCGATTGCTAGACCAACACAATCAATATTTGAAATAATAATTTGTTGATTTGTTTGACTTTGATCAAAACATCGAATTACTCGGCTGTTAAAATGATCAGAAACAATAAAAGAACTATTTTCTTTATCAAAAATTATATTTTTTGGAAAATTGAATTGATTATTTTCATTCCCTCTTCCATTTCCACCGGCAATGATTTGACCAGTATTTGAATTTAATCTCCATTTAACAATACGACCATTCTTAGAATCGGCAATATAAATTGAGTTATCATTGTCAATAAAGATTCCATGAGGATAAGCGAGTTGATTTAATTCCTGTCCATATCCATTTCCTCCAGCAACAGTAATTCCAAATTGTTGAAATTTATCCTTTTTCGTTTGAACTCCGTCTAAAATAAAAGATTTTCCTTTTATTCAAAAATCTTTTTTATTATTTTTAAATCAAAAAGGACGAAAATAAGAAGAAAAACTTGTACTTCAATGTGTTTTAATAAAATAAAATTTCCCTATCGTTAAATTTAATTTTTAACGAACAAAATAAACTCTGAACAATTTCTTCATTCAATTGAGATTGTTTAATTAAAAATTCTTTATTCAATTTTCATAAAATTTTATATTGGGAAAATTTTTATAAGTGAAAATCATTTTCATTTTAATGATTTAAATAAAATTGATTAAAAACTTCTTTCTAATTAATAAATTAAATAAACCTTTTCTCTGGAAATTCTATACTAAAAAGTTAAACTTAACTTAAATTTTATTCAACAATTTAAAAACAAAATAGTCTTTTCATTAAAATACCAAAAGAGATTTTTCGAATGAAAAAAATCTCAAAATTCTATTTATTCTAAGAAATTCATTTAGATTTGAATTTAATACTAAAATAAATCTTTTAAAAACAAAAACAAAGTAATGATTTTATAAAAAATTGTGAACTGATCTACCTGTTGAAATAATATTTGGAATTGATTTTACTTAAATTTTTACAAATATTTCATCAGAATTTCAATAAATTTAAAATATAAAAATATTGAAGAGAATATTTGAAATGTGATTGATCAACAGAAAATAAAATTCTTATTGAATTTTGATCATTTCAAGAATTTAAACAAACGAAAAAATCGATTTGATTTTTATTAGGAAAATTTGAATAATTTGAGAAAAAAATGAAATTAATTTTAATTTTAAACAAAAATAGGTTATCTGAGAAAGTTTTTCTTTCATTTTAATATTTGAAAAAAAGAAATAAAGTTAATTTATTCATATTCTCCATTTTTCATTTTTATTTGAAAAAACAATTGTTAAGGCCTCCCCCCCTCAAAAAAGTCAATTTTCGTCAAAATTTTCTAAATTGAAATAAATCCAAGGGAAGATAGCCCGAGTTCTGCTGTTGAAGGTGTGGATGTGTTTGTGAATGTGGGTGCAGGCGTGAGTGTAGGTGTGGGTGTAACTATAGAGAAAGAGACAGCATCCATACTCAGACCACCCCTTTGCAACGTATGATTGTCATATCCTCAAATAAACACTAGATGTTTGCTTTCAACAAGATTAAAATCAATGGCTAATCATTACACAACGATAATAAACAAGAGATCTGAAGACAGATGTTTTTTTGCGTTTTCGCGGTTTTTGCATAATGTTGCGTAGGATGAATTCATATATGAGTGATATGAATGATCTCATAATATGTTGAATATATTCCAGTAACTTAGTTCTGTGCATCGATATATAAGAACCCAGTTAATATCTGTTCTTTCAGACAAACATTCTGGATCACAAAATAACGAAAAACGATGAAAATGTTGTCATAGGCAAAAAAATGATATTCTGCGATTAAAAAAAAGATAGGCATGGTTCGGATTTTTCGGAAATGAACTGAACCGAGACCGAGATCTGTTTGGAAAATTATAGATCAGTCAGTTCGGTTTACAAACCGAACTGTACTCATCTCTAGATTGAAAAAAACTGTGATACTAAGCGAAAATCTATAGGAATTGTTTATCCAGAATCTTAGGATAGTAAGACTTTCTATTGCTGAGTTTCAACTTGTCTGTAAATACTTTTGTATAAAGTGGAAGACTTTTAGGTGAACTATTCAGTTAATGATGTTCCCACATTAATAAAAATCAAACTAAATATGCGATAAAAGTTTTCATTCAACAAACCTTTGTTAAAATAAAACGCTTCATGAAGACATGAATTTGTCCATGGTCGTTGTTTTTGTTCTGATTCTGATCTTATTTCTCGTGAGACACCTCTCATCATATCTTCTAGCGTTATATTTGGTGTCGAAATATGGTTTAATAGTGAATGTGTAAAGTAACTGTTTCCATTCGTATGACGACCGGCAGCAAATGATACCGTACCAGGATCAGCTGAATATATTAAGGCAAACTGAGATTGATTAGGTAGACGAACATGTCCTGACAGGGCTTTGCCAAAGGCAGGTTTGAGTTTGTGTTCATTTTCCGCACTTGTAGCCTTCGTTTTCCACGTATCATTTTCTTTGTCAGCACGACATGCATCGAGTATAATAATATTTAATAAATTATCTCCACAGTTATTCAATTGTTTTAACAGTTCTTCCAGATTGATACAATCAAATACAGGATCGCGTATGTTTTCAATTGGCACCAAATAGTTTTTACCCTAAAATAGTATCGTAATTTATGAGTTCATGCAGAATTTTTTGCGGGGTGGGTGTGGGTGTGGATATAGATATTAATCTTCATTTAACCACACCCACACTCGTTGTTAGGGGAATCGCCTATAATTCCATCCAAAACAGCGATTATAGAGAGTACTTTTCAGAAAAGCATATATCAGAAGATACCGTAGTACTCACTTACTTTAGCTTCCATCCCATGTCCTGAAAAATAAATTAGTACACAATCATCATCTGTAATAGTTGCACAAAAATCCCGAATGGCAATGTCCATGTCGCGCTTGTTTTGGTCGAGATATAGTGTGCAACGAAAATCTGAAAATATTTTTTCCAATGTAGTATAATTTCAAAGAAACCCTGAATTATTTTACTCACCTAGCTTTTCTAACTTGGCGGTCATATCAGTTGCATCTTTCCTACAACTATGTAATTCGTTCTTTGGATATGAGTCATTACCAAAAACTAAAGCCAATCGTCGACGATCCATATATTTAGCTTTTCACTTTCTAAAATATCAGTTTAAATATTTTTCGGGTATAAACGTTACTAAGACGCAAGAAAAAACATTTGCATTTGCATTTCTGATGGAACATTTAATATGCTCAAGGGTGGTTGGTGTCATTATTTCGAGGCGCATTTGAATACAGAAAATGTTTCATCTGAGGTGTGCCAGAACGTGTTTATACTGTATTTCATGTTTACATGGCCAGTATAGTATTACAGTGCGAAAAGAACTAGAATTTTTTTATCTTTACTATAACTTCTCTGACTGTTTAAACAAACACACCTCATTCAAATATATAGTAGCTTGTCATAAAACTATATAAGATTTTGCCTGGTGCAAGTCTATGGCAAGGAAACTATACACTTTGTATCTATATTTCAGCATATTATATAACTTTGACGTTAGTCCCATAGAAGGATGAGAGTGAAGATACTACTCGACTATATAAACTATCTGAAAAAAAGCACTTGAGAACAATGGTTATATCTTTTAAAGAGAAGGCAATAGAGACATGTGGTTTTCAACGTTGGATGGAGCATGGTACGTCACATGGTACTATGGGATAGTCAGGAATTCCGATAAGACTCATCATGGTAGATTTTTCCATGTAAACTTGATAAGATTACTTTCTCCAATGCGTTATGGATCTTAACTTTTATTCGAAAAGTTTGTAATAAATATTTCGAAGACACATGCTATTCTATGGCGATCAGTTTACAGTTTGATGCTGAGTTATAATGTCTTGTAATGATAATTTGTGCTTATAGGCGCTGTTCAAACTCAAAATAAACAGTGTCGCCACGCTCAGCGCCGTTAATAATTTATATATTACTTATTTTTGGAATATTCGGCTGTGTCCAAGACAGAAGTGAATACCTTTGCGAATAAGGATTATTACTTCTGAAAAATAGCGATCTGGACCTTGTCTAGACTTGTAGATATCGTTTCGGGGTCTTGATTCCACCACTTAAAAGTTAAAATGCATAGTGCATTTTAGAAACTACAATTTTATCAAGTTCACATGCAAAATCTACTATAATAAATCTTATCGGGAATGCTTTGATATTTCATAGTTTCATGTGCCATATCGTATTCCATCTAACAGTGAAAAACACAGGTCTTTATTATCTTCCCTTCAAAACCTATAAGCATTTTTGTCAAGCGCATTTTTTCAAAAATTCATATAACTTCAGGCTATGGTGAGTACATAAGTGATTGTCCAAGCATTTCTTGAAATGCATGAGCGATTATGAAAGTACCTAAGATTCTATCAAGTCCAGGTTTAAATTAAGATATTTCTAAATATCTTTTCCTTTTTTTTAGGTTGACTGAAGTCTCTTATTGCTTGAATGATTTGCTTGATTATGGATAGATCTATCATAGTCAACGCTGATATTCGTTGTTTTGGCTTACTTTCAATCTTTTTTAATTGCTAATGGTAGATAAGTTTAATTGAGGGTGTGGGTGAGAATATCTTACTCACACCCACACCCTCGCTCAATTCAGGTCGGTTTATAAGTTTACAAATCCTCAAGATTCAGAATTCACAGAACTTGAACATATCTCTTTTTCCCAATAATTTAAATGTGAAACTTACCCGAATGAAACTGTTTAAGTGAAATGATTTGAAAAAATTGTAATAGCCCGTAACTTTCGAATGGTATTGTCTGCGTGACTGAATGTGCTTTTCGTGAAATAATTTGTTTAGTTTGTTTTATAAAGTAACAACATTTGCCACTTTTTTTTCTTTATTTTTTGCAGCTACGCATTTTATTACGAAAGAATATGTAAAAATTGAAAAGAAGACATTGAAGGCCCACAATAAATAAGAAATGTTATTCGAGAGAAAGAGAAAAAGAATTCATATGGAATAAAATGTATTTAAGTGCTGTGCAAATAAATATTATTAATGAAAAACTGTAGTCTTCGTAATGAAAAATAAATATGTCTTCAAAAAAAGAAACAAAAATATGATGAAATAGAAGAAATTATGTTATTCATCTAAATGGATTTCTCGACAGTCGTTGATCGTCGACAACATATTGAGAGTGTGAATGTCTGATATATCCTTAATGCACTTGCGCATTCATCCTCACCTATACTCTGACTTTAGTCACATCCCTGTTTACAAAATATTCAGACGGCAAAATACTTTCCTATAAAAAAAAATATCTCCATAAAATTTGTTGAGTAACTTATATTTTAATGATGAACATATTAATGTTAAACAGAAGCCGTCGGAAGCAAAGAATAATTGTGAAGAGTAGGGTGATTGCATTTTTCGATGAATTAAATTGTAATTTTATTTGAAAAAAAAAAGAAATCTTTTGATGAGTATCGATTAGATTTTCATTATTTCGAATTTAATTATCTCACTTCATTTTTCATCCAATTCAATGATTTTATTCTGAAGAATAACAAAAATTTCAAGTCGAAAATAAAAAAAATATTTGTTTAAACAATTCTTCAGAAACAAATTTCCCATTCGAATTCAATTTCATCTTCTTTTCTTTTCAGTACTAATAAAAGATTTAGAAGATCAATCAATATTTCATTTATTTTTCTCTGAATTTATTAAATTTTATGTGAGGAACTAAATGCTTAACAATAAAATAAAGAACAATAAATGAAAAATAAACATTTCGATTTATTCTCTATAATTACGTATGTCTCTCGATTCTCTCACCCTTTTTCTCGGTTGAATCGATTAGTAACTTTTAGAAGTTATTTTTCTAATTGATCATATGTAGTTGGATCTCCATTTCTATTTGAATTTGAATAAAACATCTGATGACAACATGAAATATATTTGGAAAGAAAATAAATCTTAATTTATTATATTTTATTGATAGAAATAAAAATATCATTTGAATTAAACGATGAACATTGTGGAAATCGATTTTGAATAACATTTTATTAGAATTTTTTGTGTTTCTTTAAAATATTTCGATATGAGATGTCGATGAATAAAAAAATGATGAAAAATAGTTTTTATTTTCTTCTGTTTCTTTAGATTTTTCAAAAATTCTTCATAAAGTAAAAGAATTGTTAAACAATATCATTCATATGATACACATTTTGTTGAAAAACAATTTCTAAAGAGATTTTAACGTATTGAATATTTTAATGATTCACAATAATAAGTTTAAATTTCATTTTATATCTTTTTTCGTTGTTCAATCTAATTTAGAATAGAAACATATGTGATATTTCCATGGTGAATATCAGTACGATAGTTATGAAAGATACTCAATGATAAAATCAATTTATTTTTATTTCAAAAAAAAACAAACAAAATCTACAAATCTTTTGAGAATATTCAGAAATTTTGATTTAATTTAGAATTTGAAATATTTTCTGATTTGTAAGATTAACAGAATACTTTCAAATACAATTTAATTCAATTAATTCTTGCTTTTCTTTACTATCATTCTTATTTAAAATAATCTTAATCGATATTCTAAACTAAGTTTTAATAATCAAAAAAATTAGTTTTTGAATAATTTTGAGATCAATCAAATATGAAGATGTAGAATATTATTTTATCAAATTTATTTTTTATTAAAAGATTATTATTCTAAGTGATAATTTTCATAAGAATAGAAATAGAAAATAATTTATTCAAGAATTAACAAATATCGATAAGTCGATCTTAACATAATATAATTAGATTTATTTATTTACTCTTACACTTTTTTATCATTTATATTAAATATTTCACAATTTTATTCTTATTTTTATTTTATCTGCATAAATATGATTTTACTAAGAAATTAGATTAGAAACAAATGACAAAAATTAATTATTGTATATCTTTTTTTCTATAGAAAAAAAAAATCTTATTAAAGCATTTAATAAATCAGTTTTTAATGATTAATTATATTGAAGTTTCATGATAATTTCTTCAAGTGAATAGATGGAGCATTACGATGCTAATTATTATTATTTTTCTATTTCTGTATCTCTTGTTGTCGTTCTCCTTCATCATTCGTTACGGTTGATTGATTTATTATTATATTCCTCATGTTATTTTCTTTTATTTTTTCTTACAAAATAAAACATATTTGATAACTACTTCCTTCATATATCATTCAAGTATTACAATAATCAGATCTGGTAAGTTGTTTATAATAGACTCTTTTGCTGTAAGGTAGACATAATCCCTGAATTCGTTATCAAAAGAGATTGATACAACTCTTGTAAGAGTGTCAAATAATCTATAATTAGAAATAAAGAGTTTAGTAATGATTCTATAATGCAATTTGATATGAATAAAGTATTTTTAAATGAATAAAAAATGAAAAAAAATCAAAAGTCTGAAAATATTTCTATCAAACAAAATGAAGGAAAAGTTTAAAGTAAATGAAATATATTTATTCATAATGAAAGTTTTATTTAGTTTTATGTTTTGATTATTATGAACATTATATGATTAGTAGAGAAAATATTTTATTCGTAATTCATTCTATCAAAAAGAAAGATCGTTTTTGTTCTCCAGTAAGATAATTCAAGTAAATAAATTACAAAAATATTTTCCTTCTTTTTCTTTTTTTTTGTCTATGAAGAAATAGAATCAATGTGTTAAATTATTTATGTGATTTGAAAAATAACAATACTACTCAAAATTAGCAAACTTTGTATTTTTTTACAAAGAAATATTTTCATGTAGATAATAATTATTACGTAAAGAATGAAGAAATATAGAACACTGTTTTTTACTATTAATGCATATGGGGAGAGAAAGATTCCCGAAATTTTCTCTACAATATTGAAGTGTCACCTTTACTACTTTTGATATATCCTTTGTTTAAATAAATATGAACTATTCTCTTTTTATTCTCTTTCCAAAACCTAGGAAATCATTTTATACTTTGATTTTATCGCAATATGTTTGAGAAAAAAACAAAACTTTGTTTTTATCTTTCATTAACAATCAAATCGTGTATGCCTATACTATAATAATCTATAGTAGGTTAATCTTATCAATATCTGCCATTTGTTTCATTTTGTGATTGTATAAAAAAGAAAAGAAAAGCAGAACATAGGCAGATGAAATATTTTTCGACCTGTGCTAACAACTGATAACGAACAGCTTCATGAAAGATAATATATCATTTGCTTTATATTCTTCTTCAACGGTTTAATAAAAAACAAGTTAAAACAAGAGACGAATCATTTTTTTCAATTAATAAAAATATCTTGTTTTTCCATCCTTCAATTTGCATCAAACTGTAAAAAAAGTAACAAATGACGCAATAGTGACAGAAATATGACATCCTTTTTATGGCTATCAAAAACACAATTTCTTCGATAATTATGTATAGGTCAAACAGATAACATCTAAAAACTCTATCCTATTTAGTTCTTGAATTAACATGGCCACTGCTCTTCTACTAAATGATGACTTTTACACAAACACCGATGATAAGTATCTTGAAATATTCTCACTTATTTGGCTTGATGCAAATGTAGATGTTAAAGACAATCGAGACACAGAAGTAAAATTACGTTCGATTATCAATCATATCAAGAAATTTCAAGATATAGAACAATGTGAACAATATATTGATCAAACATCACAAAAAGATCGATTAATACTTATTGTTAGTGGTCCATTAGGACAAGAAATAGTACCCTCCATTCATCAACTTCGACAAGTTATATCAATTTATGTTTATTGTATGGATAAGAACAGTAATGAACAATGGGTTCACAAATTTTCAAAAGTAAAATTATGCTAAAAGATGTTTGTTTCGTTTTGCTATTTTTTCATAGGTGAAATCTGTTGTTGTTGATCTTGACGAGCTTGTCTCCCAAATCACAACAGATCATAAAATTCACAAAAAGGTAGAAGAACCATTGTCAATCAATATTTTCTCAACAAATGTTGGTGCAGGTAAATCAACAACAGGAGTTAATGGACAATTTGTTTTTTCTCAAATTCTCGTTGACTGTCTTCTACGGTTAAAATCAACTGAAATAGACAAAAACGAACTTATTGGTCTTTGTGAAAAGGAATATGAAGGAAATAATACCGAACTAAACAATCTTCGTGAATTTCAACAAGATTATTTACCTGATAAAGTGTTATGGTGGTACACGAAAGAATCATTCTTCTACAAGATTCTAAATGCAGCTTTACGTACACAAAATATTCATATGATGTTTTTGTTTCGATCATTTATTTATGATATATATCGTCAATTGCAAAAATATCAATCTAAGCATCCGTTACAAGTTTATCGATGTCAACTAATGTCAAACGATGAATTAAATAGTCTTAAACAAAATATTGGCCAGTTTATTTCAGTAAATTCATTTTTTTCCACCAGTGACGAACGTCGAACAGCTCTCTTCCTCCTAGGTGATATAACAACACAGATTGATTCAGAACGAGTGTTGTTTGAAATCGATGCTGATCCTAAAATATTTAATACAAAACCATTTGCTGATATTAGGAAACATAGTTGTTTTCCACATGAATCAGAAGTTCTCTTTATGATTGGTTCCATCTTTCGTCTTAATAATATTTATCGTAATGATGATCAAATATGGATCGTTGAAATGACTTTATGTAATGATGATGAACATGATTTAAAACAAGTTCTTATGCATATGAAACAACAAATTAATAATGAAGAAACAAATCTTCGAATACTTGGAAATGTATTATGGGAGATGGGTAAATTTGATTTAGCTGAAAAATATTTTATTCGTTCGTTGAAACAGCTTTCATCGAATGATCCATTACATATCAGTTTATATGAAGACCTTGGCAAACTCGCATCACAGAGAGGTGATTATGATTTGAGTATGGAATGGCGTCAAAAATTACTTACATTCAAAAAGGAAAATCTATTAGCGACCAATATTAGTGTTAATAAAACAAACAATTCCATCGGTAAGTTTATTGAAAGAAAATTTGTGATTTTCAACCGAGTGATTTATATAAAAATCAATTTTTTATCGCCGAAAAAAATCTTTAAACATTCAAGAAGGTGAAACTGGTGAAGAGAAATAAATATCCCTTTAAAAAACTGAAGTTTTGTGTTTATCACTTTGTGATTTTACATAACAGAAAATAATTTAGAATTGAAATCAAATCGATATATTCAATATTGACTAATATCAACTTTATTTATCTTTTATCTTTTCCTATTAATAGACTGTTACACATTCTTTACGATAACATTAGTATTTCGTTTCTTCGCTTATTTTTCTAAATCATGATACTTATATGTGTTAAGTGAGAAATCTCTCTATTCAATAGTAAATAATATGAAAGAATGTGAATATTGCATCAGTTATCTAATTCAAGTTCAAATATAGATAAAGAACTTAATGATTAACATCGACTCACAGATATACGAAAGGAATCAAAGCGACACTCTCATGTATATTTAGAAGAAAAGGAAAAGAAAAAGTGTACCTTTAGAATCATTTATAATTTAAGTTATATAGCATGAACTGCCTAATTGAATTTCTAATATAAATGAATGATTTACATCAATTATAGTAAAATGTAACGAATAACGTTTATACTGTACATTATGAAAAGAATAAAAGTTCTGTTTTCCTAAACTTATCATTTATGATAAAAATGACAAATGCAGACTCTACGGCAAGTTTACAAACAGACTAAACCTTTTTTCATTTGTGAGTTTTTCGAAATCTCGTAACTTTTATACTAACTGTGATACTGATGAAAACTATTTAATGTTTAATTCTCAAATATTAACAAACTTAAACAACAAATAAAAAGCTTTGCCAATCATTTTACTAACGATTCGACAGACCTCTTTCCTTACAAAAAATGAAGGGTTAAGGCTATGCCACACGATTATAGATCATCATAGTTTTTGAAATATAGATAATTTTTCATTCGAAATAGATTGGCTCAGAAAAAAGTCAAGAACATATAGAGAGTCACTTTTTGGGAAGTGTTGTAGAAGTCGAAGTACTTATTAACTGTGCTGGAGTGGTTTAGCTCTTAAAGCATTATCATATCTATATCTTACCCTTATGACAATAGTACGTGTCACAACCAAAATCTCTTTTTGTTATCAGAAACTTCAGTTCAATTCGTGGCATTTTGTGTCAGCGTGAAGAATATATGCATAAAACGATTATCTAACATTGTTAAGACGTACGGGAGGTAGAACAAATCACCATTCGAATAGTACTGAAATTTATTTTGTTCTCAAACGCTTATCGACGTCCGCTTATATCCAACCAAGACTATTAATATGACTTAATGATGAACGATATCCATGATATTTGTACTCTTTTTCACATAAAATGTGTATCATCCCCGTCTTTACTTCAAAAATTTCGAAGTGGACTAAACTGAATCAGTTGGAGTAATCATTGTTCTCCGATGATTGCAAAAGAGAAGTGTTGAGAATAAGACATGTGTTCGGTTTTTGTTCACAATACACATACAGCATTCATTGTAGAAGCGTTAATCATCATATTTAAATGAACTCGTTTAAGATTAATCTTTAAAGACTAATTCAAAATCAAAAATCTTTCATTTAGAAAGTGTAAAATAATGCTTTTGATATTCGAATGATTAAAAAATAAACAATTTCAATTCTTTTTCAACTCAAAGCAAAAATAATTTATTTATGAACAACACACAAAATGTAGAAAGATAAAACTAGATTAAAAAAAAAGTAAAATTTGAATAAATATGAGAAATAGAAATCTTTTTTTAATACCAATTAGATATATTTGTACAAATTGTGTCAAGAATGAAAGTTGAAATAATTTTCTATTGTTATGAATAACGTTTACAATTCTTTTCTCATCCGTTTTATTCTCTTTTATTGAAAGTGATTTCGATATATTATGAGATTAATTCTTTATAATTTAAGATCTAGTTTAAAAAATCATCACAACTTTATGTCGTGTTTTTATTCTGACAGAAAAACATCTTCAACTTCATTCTCATTCATCCGTAGAACTGATCAATCTTCTATATTTGTAAATGAAATTTATTTCTTTTTTGTTAAAATAAGAAAAAATCTATTCAATTCTAATTTATGTCTCATTCTAATCAAATTTACAATAAAGAATATCATTCATACTAAATTTATTATCTTAGCATAGATTTATATCAATAAACATTTAAATACTTTACTTTATTTTCACTTCAAATCATCTTAACTAAAAATATTTTTATTTTCACAAGAAAATGAATTGAAATGAAAAAAATAAATTCTCAGTTTTTATTTCTGAAATCTTTTTGAAACTTAGACAAATTCATTCGTATGAAATTTGTTAAATATTATTTAGAAAATACACAAACAATTTTACTAAATAAATGTTAAATTTAAATTAATTCAAATCATTTTTATTTTATTTCATCTTCACCTTCTCAACATACTAATTCAACAAAACAAACTCTCAACATTCATTTTTATACAAATTATCATTTTTATTTTAGCAGATTTTAAAATAATACCTTTTTTATTCATATTATTCATCCATTTCATTCAAATATAATCAAAATCTTTTTTCTCTTAGAACAATCAATTCTTGTTGATCATATTAATATCAACACAAAATGGAAACAACATGGAATTACTGTTGCTGGAGGAAATCGACGAGGCAATCAATTAAATCAACTCTCTCGTCCTGAAGGTATCTATATTGATGATGATCATCAAACTATTTATATCGCTGATTGTGGTAATCATCGTATTGTCGAATGGAAATATGAAGCAAAGAATGGTCAAGTTGTTGCAGGTGGAAAGGAAAAAGGAAAACGAAGTAAACGATTGCATTATCCAACAGGTGTGGTTGTTGATAAAAACAGTGATTCTCTCATCATTTGTGATCGTGACAACAAACGAGTGGTACGATGTTCTCGTCAAAATGGTACAAATGGAGAAACCATCATTTCTGATATTGATTGCGAAGGTCTAACAATGGATAATAATGGAAATCTTTATGTCTCTAACTGGGTGAAGAATGAAGTGAGACGATGGAAACAAGGAGAGAGTGAAGGAATAATAGTAGCAGGTGGAAATGGACAAGGAAATCACCTCAATCAACTGAATTGGCCTACCCATATCTTCGTTGATGGAGATCATTCAGTTTATATATCGGATCATCACAATCATCGTGTGATGAAATGGATGAAAGGTGCAAAAGAAGGTGTTGTTGTTGCTGGTGGAAGAGGTCAAGGAAATAGTTTGACACAATTGTCTCATCCTGAAGGAGTGATTGTCGATCATTTAGGTAATATTTATGTGACTGACTCTCACAATCATCGAATAATGCGTTGGTGTGAAGGATCTAAGGAAGGTAGTATTATTGTTGGTGGAAATGGAGAAGGAGAAGAACCAAATCAGTTCAATCTTCCCAAAGGTTTATCATTCGACGTTCAAGGTAATCTCTATGTTGTCGATTGTTGGAATTATCGAATACAAAAATTTGAAATTGATTTGAATTAATTTTTTTGTTAAAATATTTTTGTTTATTTTAATTGAAAACTGAATAAATACCAAAATTCAAAATGAATTTTAGTTAATAATTAAATTAAGTTTGATTTATTGATAAATATCTGTTTCGAAGTAGTTTGTTAAAATAATAAAATTAAATTTTCTGATTCGATTGGTATACACATAGAAGTAAATTTATAATTCTATTGAAGATAAGATAATCTGAGAGCACCGGAAAGCAAGATAGAAGAATATTTTCGTGTCTTAAAGTTGTGTGTGCCATGAATAAATCAAATGAATGATAAGATGAAATGAAATAGATCGAATTAATACTTTGTGTAAATAAAATGCTTTGCAAAATAAATAAATTTATTAATTTATTTGATTTAATCTATTGTGTTGATAATAATGATAATGAAATATTTGTTATTTTAATTTTGAATTTATTAAATCTGATAAAATGATACGATGAATTTATGGTATTATTGTTTGTGATCATTGAAATAATATTGAAAGACGAAGAGATAATATTGACGATGTTTTATAAATATAATATAAATAATGATTAACATGATTTGTTCATAGAATTGATTTCGAGAAATTTAAAATAAATAAATGAGACAGTTTATTTTGCTCAATCAAGTGAAGAGAAAGAAGAATTGTAAAATATATGAATAATTGTTTTATTGTTGTTGAGATTTGTGGGTGTGGGTAAAGACAACATTCACCCACACCCTCAATACAGATGTTTATATTTGCATATTTGGAATAAAGAAAGATACAGGTTTGATTGTTTCTTTTTAATATGAGAGATAGAAGAAAAAAGTTGTTCTTTTTTCTAATAGGAAAAGTTCCGTTAGCTACATCAAAAACATATAAAGATCTCTTTCAACAAGGTCATACTGATGTATTTGAAATTGAAGCTATGGATATTGATGAATCCACAAAAAATAAGTACGAATAATAGTTTTAGGGTGTGGGTGGGTATGTATAGTTATTCAATTTCATTCACACCAACATTCCAATTAACATTACAATATCGCCCACGCTTACACCCCATACATTGTCTGCCGTTCGCCATTGCAAATCATATAACTGCCATTGTTGACCGCTTGCTTGACTTGAAATGGTAAGGGCAGGAATAACCAATGCACAGGGGTCATATGTGAGCAGAAAGGTCAGATGGAGAGGAAGTTATAGGGAAAATTACGCGGTCAAGCTACAGATGGGACCAGAATGACTGATCGTTCATGCTTTATTTAACCGAACAAAAATGGCTATGAAAACAAAGAGAGATGAAACAATAAGAACTGGCTAATGTGTATATATATGCACGGCGGGCATGTTCGGTCAAGAATATATAAGAGATAGCGATGGATGAAATTCGTCAAAATATCTAAATAAGTCGATAAGGAAATTATTCAAAGATATGGCAATGGCATGTAACAAGGCACAATGTTTTACATGTAATATGGAAAAAATAACATATCCTTGTAAAGGATGTTCAAAAGAATTTTGTTTAAATCATTTAACAGAACATCAACAAATATTAAATGATGAATTAAATAATGTTACCAATGAATATAATGAATTCAAACAAAGCATTAATGAACAAAAACAGAATTCACAAAATGTTTTATTAATAAAACAAATTGATCAATGGGAAAGTAATTCAATTGAAATAATTCAACAAAAAGCACAAGAATGTAGAAAAATTGTTACTGAATATTTACCAACATTCTTTAATGATATTGAAAAGAAATTTAATGATTTAAATCAGCAAATAAAAGAAATTCATCAAGAGAATGAGTTTAATGAAATTAATTAAAATATTTAAGAAATCAATTAATAGAAATGACCCAAGAATTAAATAATCCATCAAAGATCTCTATCAAAGAAGATTTACAACCGTTTATTAGTGAAATTTCTGTTACAGAAGATTTACAATCGTTTACTAATAAAATTTCTGTTAAAAAAGATTTACAATCGTTTATTAATGAAATTTCAATTATTTCGTCAAAAAGTAAGTTTTTGTCAAATAACTTCTAACTGGATACTTTTCATTTTCTATGAAATAATATTAAAAATCAATAAGAATAGTATTAATAGAAATAGAAAATTAAATTTATTTGTATGTAAAGAAAAAGAATGATAAGAAATATTTTTCTAAATATTCATATTAAAATTGTAAATTAAAATAAATAGAATACTAAAAACAAAATCAAAACTTCAATCGAAATTAATCTTTTCTTTTTTGTTTTCGTCATCGTCTAGAATCAAAAACCAACAAATGGAAACAAAATGCCATTACTGTGGCTGGTGGAAATGGAGAAGGACAACAACTAAATCAATGTAGTAGCCCTCAAGGAATCTTTATTGATTATAGGAACAATATTTTCATTGCTGACAATCAGAACCATCGTATTGTTGCATGGAAATGCAATGCAAAGCAAGGACAAGAATTAAATCGACTAAATTCTCCTAGGGGAATTTTTACCGATAATAAGAAACATATTTTTACTACTGATTATTGGAATCATCGTGTTTCTGAATGGAAATATAATGCAAAGCGAGGACAAATCATTGCTGGTGGAAATGGCGAAGGAAATCGAAGGAATCAATTGAATGCACCAACAGACGTGGTTGTTGATCAAGAAGATCATTCGATCATCATTGCTGATCGAGGGAACAGACGAGTGATTCGACGGATGAATCAAAATCAACAAGTTCTCATTCGGAATATTGACTGTTTTGGTTTGGCAATGGATAAATATGGATTTCTTTATGTTTCTGATGATAACAGGAATGAAGTGAGACGATGGAAAAGGGAAGGATTTGATGACGAAGAAATTGTAGTAGCTGGTGGAAATGGAGAAGGAAATCAACTCAATCAACTCCATCGTCCTACTTTTATCTTTGTTGATGAAGATCAATCTGTTTATATATCAGATTCGTTCAATCATCGTGTAATGAAATGGAGAAGGGATGCAAAAGAAGGAATAATTGTGGCTGGAGGAAATGATAAAGGAAGCAATCTTAATCAATTGCATCGTCCTCAAGGAGTCATTGTTGATAATTTGGGTCAAATATATGTGGCAGATTTTAGGAATCATCGAGTAATGCGTTGGTGTGAAGGAAAAGGAGAAGGTGAAATTATTGTTCGTGGAAACGGTGAAGCAAATCTATTGTATCTTCCAATGGGTTTATCTTTTGATGATGAAAGAAATCTTTATGTTGCTGCTATGCAAACTCATCGAATTCAAAAATTTGAAATTATATTGTGAATGAAATTTTTGATTTTGAAAAAAAAGAAAAGAATTTTTTTGTTAAATAAAAAATTGAGAAATAAAAATAAAAGAAATAATATTATTGACAATGAATGAAGAAGTCGAATAGACTTTGAAGAAAAAGGAATATATTGATAAGAAAAGAACGAGGAAAAATCTTGAGGGTGTGGAGTGTGGGTGTGGGTGTGGGGTGGGGTGTGGGTATGGGTGTGGCTGAATATAGATGAATGTCTATATTTACACCCACACTCACACCGACCCTCAAACGTCTTCCTTTATTTTTCCCATCAAGTTGTTGCGAACACCCAAAGTCTTATCATTTTCATATTTCGACTTTTTTCGTTCGATCTTTTTATAATTCGATATTTTTACTTTCGACCTTAGTTGGAAGAATCGTTAGTTTTGGAAATTTTATGCTATACTTTTACAAATATTCCCCAATGCATCCAGTTTATCTACTCACAAGCAACAGTGAATTACTTAAAAAGTGATATGAGTTAAGCAATTGAAGGGCTCTTCGCAAGTTTAATCTACGTTATCGCTTGCACACCTTACTGTACTAGTTTCTACATTTACTATTTTTCTTCTTCAACGTATCGTCAAAATATTAAGAAGATTTTATGCAAGAAAAGACAAATTTGGCCAGGACGCAATTGACTTGCAACACAATATTTTACTCGACTATTCTTTTCCTCTCTCATTTTCATTTACAACTGTATATTTTATTTATCTCAATAAACAATAATATAAACGATTTTATCATTCTCTTAATCATTCAGCCAGAGTTTATTCGCAATATCCTTGATAATCTAATGAACGATTACTAGTTTTACTTCAATCAAAATTTCTAGCAAAGTATTTTTTCCAGATATCAAAAAAACAACTCATGTCACACATAAAATACGCTAGATTTACTGGTAGAAGGAAAACGTATTCAAACCATAATTTAAATTAGACTCGGAGATAAAAAAAGAACGATAATGAAAATTATGGTAATACGTGTAAATTATTTTTGTTTGCACTAATAAAAGAGAACTTAATTTTAAAAATAACTATGAATTAGTTGTTCATAAAAAGAGTGGTTCCAAAACGGTAGCAACAGACTTACAAATAGCTAGTGTTGAGAAATATCTTAAACAAAAGACTATTTCTCATGGAATATCGATATATTTTATATATGACAGTTAACTATAATATTTGAAACCATATTCACTTTTTGATCTATTAAAATATAAAATATGAGATTGATTAGAGCTCTTGTTCCAACTATAAAGATATAGCTAGGAATCCAAACTTGTAAATCATTCTTTAGTATAAAATTAATCATGTTTGAAATTATTACTCTTCTGTCTATTTTGTCACTATTAAAGATATTACTATTAGTGGTTAATGTATTTTACTTTCAATAAAATCTAATAAAAGCGGTATATTTAGTACAAATTTATTTTTAAAAATATACAGACTGTATGTAATGCAATTTTACAAACTCTAATAATAGTACAATATAAATCTACAGATTGTTAATATAATGGCATGCGTTGAACTCTATTATTATTAGAGTCAGCCACATAGAGAAACGTTTCAGCTGGATTCAAAGCAACTGCATAAGGCGCATTGAGTTGATATATTCCACTACCAGAAAATCCACTTGAATTTCCTAAGATCGTAACACCAAAAGTTCCGTTGACCATCCATTTTTGTATGCGGTTATTGCCTGTATCAGCCACATAAATTGTACCATCTTTTTTTGAGACACAAACGCCTGCTGGAGAATTAAGTTGATTGGTAGCGGTACCTTGTCCATGACCGCCAGCTACAACCGTTAAATTTCTAGTGCCCAGATTAAGCTTAATTACGCGATTGTTTGATGTATCTGCTATGTAGAGAAATTGATTACTTTCATCGAGAGAAATATGCCGAGGACCACTGAGACCCAATGATGATGGTACAAGCGTTATATTTATATTTGATGTTGCATTCCAGAAAACAATGGTATTAGAAAGTGTTGATAAATAGAAATTCTTTTGACTATCCATTGCTAGACCATAAGCATTAAAAAGTGAAAGAACAGTTTGATTTCCTGGCCACTTAGAAATACGATTAGGTGATTGAATTTCAGTCACATAATAATTCGAAGCATTATCAACACATACAGTAATTGGACTGCCCATTCCAATCTGTGAAAAGATGGCTGTTGTATTATCTGGTCCGTAGATTTGTACGCGATTGTTATCATAATCAGCCACATACACAGTTCCATTGGCTGTAACAAAAACATCATTCGGTGAGTCTAATTGTTGCATCGAAGAACCCAGTACACCATTTCCAGCTACTGTAGAAGGAAGCATTGTCATCACTAGAAATAATTATTAATTACTGTTAGTCTAGAAAATCTCAATATCAATTCTATATTTATATCAAGTTGTTGATCTAATACACAAACAAATAGATAATTTTCTGCTTACTTGTTGTACGAACAGTGGTTACGGTACTGAGCATTGACGTTGCAGGCACACTAGTAGTTGGAAGTTGAGTACTGGTTTTTATAGTACTAGTAGAAGATGCAACAGTTGTTAGCGGCTGTGTAGTTGGAGGAATAGAAGTAGTATCCTGTGTAGCCACTGTTGCTCTAGTGGGCAATTGAAGAAAATAAAATCGACTATTTACATCGGACTTCCACGAAAATGATGCATTGGTGAGAGATGCATTTGAAAAGAATTGACAGGTATTATTCAAGAAATAATTAAATGCTGAGATGTTCGTTGACATTATCATTGTACAACGACATTTTTCACTTGTACCATTGATTGTACCAGCAAATGAAAAATTTACAAGGCTGAGAGAGACATTATTTATTCGTCCAATTAAGACAGCATCAATGTAATGCAAGACAAAACATAAGAATAGCAAAGACTTCATGATGAACTGATATGGAAAAGAAAAAATATAATAATTTGCACTACGTTAACTGAAAGCAGTAGGCGTTACATTAAATATTAGGCATGATTTTTATTCTCATTTGAAGTAGATAAAAGTAGTGCGTATATGTGTTTCTAATTTCAGCTTCAGAAATGAGAGGTAAAAGTATCATATTAAATACTTAATATAAGGACAAAAAAGCATTTTTAATGTCATCTGAAGTAGACAAGCAAGATATACAACATTAAAGAAAAACGTAATACTAATATATCATGAACCGAGTAGTTTTCTATCAAAAGGTGAATGCAACTTTTTATTTTTCTTTCTATGTAAAAAAATATAAAAGTACATATGTAACTATTTAAAAATATAATTCTATACTTCAAAGAGTAAAAACTATATGCGTCAAAACAATAAACGCATATACAGACTTGATCACTATGGTAAGTAAATGCATCATTTTTCTCCACCAGCACTTAGTTCATACATGTGATCTCTCATTTATAAACATTTTGTTATTTTTCATAGAATAGTTGATGATAGCGCTGAGTGAAAGAAATTATTATTATAATGAAAAACATTTCATTTACTAAAAACTAACTAAAATTCTAAAGCGATTATCATAACTGCTATATAATGAAACATTTACGATCTTCGTCGTTTTTAGGGTGTTAAAATTTTTATCCATCTTTTTGTTAGTATCGAAATAAAATCCTTTAGTTTCTGTTCGTACATGTCAAATCTTTTTTATCTACAATAAATTATTAACGATTACAAAAAAATAAGAAAATATGTTTCATGAACGCTAAACAAGTAATTAAATATAAAAAAATCTAGTTTCATCATCATCACTATCGTCATTATATAAAAGTTCAGGATTGATTTTTTCAATATATTGTTGACGATTTCGATAGGTAAGTTTCAACCATTGTGTAAGAATTGAAGTCCAACTAGTTAATAAATATGGAATATCAGGTTTATTTTGATCATTATTTATTTGTTTAAACCATATTTGATTAATATATAAAAACAATGGATCATATAATGATCGATCAATAAATGGTTGTTGACCAAATATAAAATAGATTTTAGTTAAAACATTAATAATTAAATCAAAATCTTTTTTCTGATCATAATTTCCATTAGATGAATCAACAGTTGACATGATTTTTTTAAATTCCAATTCAAATGTTGATAATGGTCGTGCTTCAATTAATTCGATACCTTCTAGTCGAATTTTTTTGCTTATTTGTTTAAGAATAAATTGAATTGTTGTTAATGATTGTTTTTTCCAATGTCCAATTGTAATTTGTTTAATCATTCGAGATGCAGATATACTGCATGATGATTCAAGATAATCATAAAATAATATTTCAATACCAGAATTTGCAAGAAATTGTTCAACAACATGAATAGTTTGATAATTTCGATAGATATAATTATTAACTGCATCTGATAGAGCATCACCTAATGCTCGTCGATATAAATTAATTGCTGTTAATCGATGAATTTGTTTTAATGCACGTAATGAAATATTTTCATCCGAAGAATTAACAACTAATGAAGCCAAAACATTATTTACAAAAAATGAAAATTCCTAAAAGAGAAAAAATCAGGTTGGAATTAACATTTCTGGACGATATATATACTAACGTAAGCTGTTAAATCTTCGCCACTTTTATCTTCAAGATCATAATCTTTTTTATCACGTGCTAAATGACGTTGTTTGTATGCTTTTATTCGTAATAATCCAACATCAGGCATTTCATTTAAAATAAGATCTTCAAATATTGGATCAGTTTGAATTAATTTCTTAAATTAAATCGCATATATGAAAAATTCAAATTACAGAAATTTTTTTACTTCAATAGGATAGACGTGATTGAATTCTACAGCTAATTCGTGTAGTCTTAAACCAAGATCACCATGATCCATATTCATTAATTTTTTATCTTTCGTATTTTCAAAATAAGATCGTAATGTATAACGAATTTGATAAAGTATAGATGGAATTTCAAAGAATAAAGTTCCTCTTGAAAGAAAAAATAATTTTTTTTTATATTTAATTTCAATTTTTATTTGTTACTTTTCAATAATTTGTTCGAGAAGTTTGATACCTTTCTTTGCTGTTGCAATTGGTTTCCGCCATCTTTTCATACATTTATCTTTTTTTTCCAATAATAATTTTAAATTAAGATAATCAAGAATATTTTGTTGATGATCATTTGTTGCTTCACGAATAAATTCTTTTGATTTTTCAATAAATCCAAGATGATATGCACAAATAGCTGCACGATAAAATCCTTTGAAATTTTCATGTTTTTTTAATTTTAATGATTTTTTTGCATCTTGATATCCACTATAAAAATCTTTATCTTGAATAAAAGCAGCTGAACGATTTAAATATAATAAATGTAATGGAAGATTAATTTCATCTTCGGAATTCTTTTCAATAAGTTTAATAGCTTCTGTATACGATTGAATAGCTAATGACGATTGTTGATTGGAATAATATTGATTACCTTGAGTTTTATATTCTAATGCTGTTAATGACATTTTTTATTTAAAGTTAATAATTGGCTGAAAATCTAAAAAATCATTAACGATGAACTTTAAAATATAGATCAATTATAACGTTTTACATCTTAGTATGACGAATATATGTGTGTGTGTGTTGGTCTAGTCACGTTTGTTTTTCTTTCTATTCAAATGAACAAAGAACAAATATAAACAATACTGTAAGATACGAAAGAAAGAAATTTATCGATAGAAGATATCGTTAGTTAACAATTCTTTAGAAATAATAACATATATTAACGTTGACATCTATTGCAATTATCTCTTGAATTAATTAATTTCTACTTTTTTTCATATTTCCTTCATTTGTTAGATAGTAACATATTGAAAGAGTCTTATCTTTTAACGCAAAATGTAATTGTCAGTTTTTTCTTGTTATTTATTTTTTACATATATAAACGCACTTGAATATTGAAACAAAACTGATAAGAAAGAGCACACTTTTCTTTGTATATAAATACGCATTTTGAAATAAAAATATTCTATATTGTTTTATTCGAAATGTTAAATAATTGTCTCTTCGTAATTGTTATTGTTTCCTGTTTATTATCGTCTACCTTTTCCATTCCAATTTATTCTAAAGTTCAAGGTCGAACATGGGATCAAGCTATTGCTATGGCAAAATCATTAGTAGCACAAATGACATTGGAAGAAAAATGTAATATGACATCTGGTATTAAAGGTCCATGTGTCGGAAACGTTCTATCTATACCTCGTCTTAATTTTAGTGGTCTTTGTTTTCAAGACGCACCGAGTGGTGTCGGAGATAAAGCTTTACATTCAACTGCTTTTGCACCCGGTATACAAATTGCAGCTACTTGGGATCGAGATTTATTCTATAGACGTGCTGTTGCAATAGGTCAAGAATTTAAAAATAAAGGTATTCATTTTGCTTTGGGTCCAATGATGAATATTGATCGAAATGCTCGTGCTGGTCGTAATTGGGAAGGATTTGGTGCTGATCCATATCTTTCAGGTGAAAATTCATTTTATTATGTACAAGGTATGCAAGATCAAGGTGTCGTTTCAACTGCTAAACATTATATTTGCAATGAACAAGAAACTCATCGTATGTATATAGGATCTGATAATTTCAATCAACCTAATCCTAGCATTACCAAGGGTTACTCAGCTAATCTTAATGATAAAACAATGCATGAAATTTATTTATGGCCATTTGCAGCTAGTGTTGCTGCTGGTGTTGGATCCGTTATGTGCTCATACAATCAAGTGAATGGTACACCAGCTTGTCAAAATGATAAAACATTAAATGGACTATTGAAAGGGGAACTTGAATATCCAGGCAATGTCATGTCAGATTGGGGTGCAACAAAAACTGGTGTCGAATCAGTTTTAGGAGGTTTAGATATAGATATGCCAGGTGATTTGAAATTAATGGGTTTCACTCTTGTACAAGCAGTTGACACTGGAAAGATTACCGAAGAAAGAATTAATGATATGGTCACTCGAATTTTAGCACCTTATTATCTTCTTGAACAAGATCAAGGATATCCATCAATTGATTTAGATCGAGATGGTACTGAAGATCATTACAAAATTAATCAACAAGTTGCTGCTGCAGGTTTTATTTTGCTTAAGAATACAAATAATGTTTTACCATTTAATGTCAAGACTGATACTCATTTTTATGTTTATGGAGCAGCCGCAGGTCAATCTGACGAAGGATTCCATTCAGCTGGTCGACCAGAACATGCAGGCGCTTTGTACCAGGGTGGGGGTTCTGGGTCTACTGATGCGCCCTATGCTATTGATCCTCTTACATCATTGCTGAATAAAGCTCGAAATTCTCATCTTCACATTCATTATATTACTAATCAATTTGATTATATTGCTATTGTCGATACATTTCATACTCATGGCTTCAATAATTCTAAGTGTCTTGTTTTTATTAGTGCTTATTCTTTTGAAGGAGCCGATAGAGACAGCCTTCATGCTTTAGATGATGGTAATGAACTTGTTCGAACTGTTGCTTCTCATTGTGCAAATACTATTGTTATTGTTAATAGTGTTTCACAACTTAACCTTGAACCATGGATTGATCATCCCAATGTTGTTGGTGTCATATGGTCGGGTCTCCCTGGTTCTGAATATGGTCCAGCTATTGTAGATGTTCTATTTGGTGATTATAATCCGGGAGGCAAGATGGTTTTCACAGTAGCTAAAAAAGATTCGGATTATGGCACTGATATTAGTCTATCTTTTAAATCTGATTATACTGAAGGTGTTTTCTTAGATTATCGTCACTTTGATAAATATAATATTACACCTCGCTTTTATTTTGGATTTGGTATTTCATATACAACATTCTCGTTTTCTAAACTTAATATTTCAACATCTCGAAAAAGTAAACATAGTGCTTCATCACAATATCAACAACATCGAATGAGATCATACAATAGTATTGGTACTTTGAAAGTTTATGAACCTGTCTATGAAATAACATTTACTGTTACTAATACTGGTAGAATGGATGGTTCCGAAGTACCTCAACTTTATCTTGGATTTCCAGCAGAAGCAGAACAACCACCGAAAGTATTACGAGGTTTCGAAAGAATATATTTATCAGCAGGGGAATCAAAACAAGTATCATTAGTATTAACACAAAAAGATATTTCATATTGGAATGTTGTTAATCAAAAATGGACTGTTGCTCATGGCATTTATACAGTTTGGATATCAACATCTGCTAACAATGCTGACATTAAACTTCAAAGTTCTTTCAATATCTAAGTTTATCTTATTCTCTAATGGACAAGTATATAAGTGTATGCTTTGTATAAAATCGGTGCGATTTTTGATAAGAACAAATATAATAAAGCATAATACCATCAATACAAAGAATTCTTTCTCATAGTATCTGCTATTGTCACATATTTCAAGTAAATAACAGCTATCTATTAGGCGCTAAATCCAAATTCATATCAATAATTTCATTTAAAAGTATTCTATTTATCAGAAGTGGCAAATGTTGATTGAGTATGGATGCGATTGTTTGTTCTCTGAATATCCACACTCAATCTCAAGTGAAAAGTTGCTCATATAATCAAGCTTGCTAAATTTATCATGAGACACTTAATAATAAATGAACAATAGAATAGATACTCGAGTGTTTTTCTACTATAAAGGCATAAGCAAATACTATAAGATGTCTTCGATTTCAGGCTATGCTATATCTTAATTCTACATAGTGAATACCTTCGCATAATAAACACTTTTTTTCCGGTCCCGATGGTATTCGCATTAGTGAGGTTTCAATGTACTCACATCCATTGCTTCAAACCTTGCATCAACAAATTGTGCAGTTAAATTGACATCCTACAACGAATGTAAACAAGCATATGGTCTTCTAATAAGAAATCGTATACGACAAGTCAATACAATGCGTTTATATATTTAAAAATGAAGTCATTTAGGAAAAACTTTTATTTATTTTAACATTGTCAATCTGAACATATTAAACAAAAAAAATTCTTTTTTACTTAATATAACTATTATATAAATCGTTTTCATTTGTGCCATTTAATTTTGTTCTTCTAAAGTTACAATTTTCAATAGTAATCGATCGATCTTATCATCTTGATTTTTTTTTGGATTGTGCCCATTTTATTGTCACACTCGAAAATGCTTACAATAGAGAAGAAAATCTACCTATATGAAGATACACCTAAAGCGTACAAAAAGTAGGGGGAGAGAACAACTTATCTGGTTATATTAACTAATACAAATGTGTGGGAAAAAAAGGGATGATATTACATGAATATAGTGTGAGTTGAAAATACCTTCTTTCCTAGCTCTTCCGATCATTTTCCTCATTAAAAACTAGTCACTCAAGTAGTATAGGTCGGTGTCTAAGTTTTTGTTTTTTAACACGATTCAACAAGAAAAGGTTACCTAATCCATCGTTTGGTCTCTTGTGGTGATTATCCCAGTAGAATACGTCCTCGAGGAAAAGTGAAGAACCGAGATCAGATGTATATAATTTCTTCAGTCTCTTCGTTATGTATCTTTGCACATAGTTTTCAAGAGGTTCTTCATTTGTTAGACTAAACAAATCTTTTGTACGAACATAAGGGACATGGTGGACTAATCGCAACGCTTTCTTATATTTCCTTCTGATAAATTCTTGATAGGTTTGAGGAAGAAGGGGGTAGAAAGGAAAAAACCAAGCAATGTGCGGGAAAACATATGCGAAGAAACATCTTCTTAAAGCATCTTTAGAGAGGGTTTTATTATTTCTCAGCCATTTTAGCTTGTTAAGGGAGATGTGAATATTCTCTAGGCTTCTGTTCACAGAGGGTTTCAAGGATAGTTTACCCGTCCAAGTAAAGCCGAGATACTTGAACGAGTCCATCATCTTGATTAAGAAGTTATGCCTGTTGCATAAGTAATTTGTCATTTTGATATGATAATAACTGATTGTGTCCATCTATATCTTTTTCTTGTTTTATTAATCTATTTGCTATTAGATCTAATTCTTCTTGCAGGTGAATTCTTTTTTGTTTAATTTTTTGTAATTGTAACTGGAGGTTTTGTATTTTTTTTTCTAGTTCATTTATGTCATTTTGATTGTGTAAGTTGTGGTTCTGAGGGTGTGAGTGTGGGGTGTAAGTGTCAGTGACTCTCCTATATCCTACACCGACACTCAAACCCTCCTCATGATGATTATAGCGTAATTGTATGTGGATCTGGTTGGACCCACATGACGTCTTTCGTATGAAAAAATGAGGACAGCATCGAAGGGTTAAAAGTAGATTTTTGTTAAGTGCTTTTATTTTTCCAACCTTTGTTTTTGAATGAATCTTGACAACTAAACAAGTTGAATATGATTAGTAATTTAATATACTTTCTGATGTTACTTAAATAGGTTTTATTATATAATTCATATGACAAACTAATGGGTAAAAAATGATTTTATTGATTAAAAAAGAAAAATTTTCTACTTCAATATAAATAAAATAAATCAGTATATATTCAAATTTACTAATTTTATTTGTAATTGATATTCAGATACGAGTTTTTTTTACTATTTTAGGAAGTAAAAACTTTGTAAATATCTATTAATAAAAAATTTTATTTAGAAATTTCAAATAAATCATTTTATAGTTATGTTATTTTAACTTAGAAAAAATATTATCAAAGATTAATAAACAATCATTTATCATCTTTTAATTAGAAAAAGTGTTTAACATGCGTATATATTCAATAATTAAAACTATAAGATTTCTAATTTATTATTTTATTTTTATCAGTTGAGGAGGCATAAAATTCGACATTAAAGATAAGTTTTTCATGAATAAATCCTATATTATATGATTTATCATCTCTTTTTATTTCGAAGATGTCTCAATTAAAACAAATTCATCACAAAATTTTAGTGACTGTCCCCGATCAATGTATTTTTCTTAAGTGAATAATTTGACATATTTATTTTATGAATTTATTTAATTAATAAGAAAAAAAATATTTTATACAAAATTATTTCTAACAATTCATTTATGAACGAATTTTACTATTAAAAGAATTTATTGAATTTTAATACAACTTAATTAATCATTAATAAACATATTGCAGGTGGAAATGGTCAAGGAAATCAAAATAAGCAATTGAATAGTCCCATAGGTTTATCATTTGATAATGAAGAAAATCTTTATGCTGCTGATCTTAAAAATCATCGAATCCAAAAGTATGAAAAAATTTTAAATTAAATTAGTTTTAATTTCATTTGATAAAAGTTCGATTTTTACTTTTGAAAATAAATAAAAAACATTAATTTGTGAAAAATCTTCAACAGAAATAAGTGTAAATAAACTAAAAAGTTTCCCTTTATAAAATCAATAACTTTGTTTTTAATTGTTAGACAAAAAGTAAATAAATATTTGTTGATTTTAACTTTAAATTAAAAAACCAAAAGAAACAAAATAATTCGAATAAAATTTATATTGAATGAATTAAATTAGAAGATTTTGAAAGAAAACTGAATTAGAAAAATCAAATAAAATGCTTTTCAGATTGAGAAAAACATTTAAATTAATGAAGAAAACTTGTAAATAGAAACCAATTGTTACTTTTACTTAGATTTATTTTTATAGTTTTATCATTTATTGAGAGAAAAGATAAATGAATAAGAATGAAATCTATATTAGTTAATAAAATGATTCACCGAATTTAATTTAATTAAAATAATAAAATAGCGAAGAAAAGTCGAATGATTTTTCTATTTTATTGATAAATAAAAGAAAATAAAAAATATCTCTCAATTAAACGATTATTTAACAAATCAATAAATATTATTCATTTAAAGAAAATAATGAAATTATATGAATAAATGTTTAATTCAAACTCAATATTAAAAAATAGAGTGTAGATGTGAGTGTGGATATTCGTCAGAGATCACACCCACACCCACTTTTTGCTGAATTTTTTTCACGCAAACGACATCATATCAGTTTTTCTAATTAATTTCCATAAAAGAGGATCTTTTGAAATACAACATTAACATATAAATTTATTAGTTCGTAATAAAATTCATATTGAGAAACTGAAGAATCAGAAATAACAGGTACAATTAAGATCTATATTTATATAAATTTCTTTGTTATAATGTTTGTATTTGTAAATGTTTGTCAAGAATACAGTACACTCTGGGTCACAGCTAATGTCTTGTTGCTGATAATGACTATATTAATAGAGATCGAAAATCTCAGATATGTGTGAATAATTTCATTAAACTGAGGGTAGGTGTAGGTGTGATTATATCTGTTTCTTCCTTATATGCACCCACACCCACACTTTTTTTAAAAATATATTTAAAGAATTTAATTTTCTCATTTTTATACATCGAAGATATACTTGAGAAATGATCAAATGAGTAAATACAATATTTATATATTATTTCTAAGCTGTCTTATCACATCTATATTGTTAGATTATAAATTTAAGTAAACTATTTACTAAAAACATGACAAACATCCAATATAATCCGTATCTTGAGAGTCTTACTTAAAACTATAGTTATTTCTTTCTTTTATTATAACGTATGGTATGCTGTTTAAAATATCAAATTTATTTTTTATCTTATAAAAAATCTTTCTTTCTTCTATAGAATACCTGTCTTTGAAGGAGATAAATAGAGTTCATATTATGTAAAATGATCAATTTTATAGAAATCTTTCAAAAAAATATTGCTGAATATGTGATTATAAGAATTAGAATAAATGTACAATAAATATCATTATGTTCATATTATTCTCTCTTTAGTTTTGTTGGAAAAAAACTGTGAGAAATATTTTAATGAATTCATACCTTTTTCTATAATCGGTGTATATGTCGTTCTTTAATGATTAATAAATTTATATAATTGCTGTTATTTTTTGTATTTATAGCTTGTAGTTACAAATATGTCAGTTTTATACGAAAACACCGTTTCGATTGAATAAGAATGCCTTAAAATAATTGCTGTTCGTACAGTCATCATAAAAGACACCTGATTTTTTTTATATTTAGATGGAAAAAGATAAACGTATGAAATATCATCAAGAACTTCAAATGTCGCAAGAATTTTATACATTTTGATTCTGCTTGATACACTTGCTATTCGGGACGTTGGACGATATTGAAATCGCTTTTTTTCTGTTTCTATGTTTTTCTCTATATCAATCACAAAACTAGCCAATGATATACATCGTGTTAATTTAAAGTTTAACAGCGTCCTCTACAATATACACATTGCA